ACAGTATGTGCAATAACCTTATACTTATTTATCACCCTAAACCCTAGTACATCCCTACAACTTATTTTATTTTATTCTATTCCTATTCCATCTATAGCACACCTGTACATACAATTTATTCTTTTTTTGTGGTTTATATTTATGCATGTGTATTTTATTCACATCTCATTTTTATTATCTGTGTGTTGTTGTTGTCTCCGTGTACTGGAAGCTTGTGACACTATAACAAATTCCTTGTATGTGCAAACAAACTTGGCAATAAAGCTCTTTCTGATTCTGATCTGTCTGGTTTCGAATGCAAAAGCACGTCCTGCTTTACCCTCACCAGTTTATTCTGTGAATATTGCATGCATTTCTGTTTAAATAGCAAATGTCACAACTGATGTAAATGCAAAGGATGGCGATCAGGATTTGACACTGAACTTGTTCCAGATCCACCCACGCATCACATACTGAAACCCAGCGGTCATGCATGCGGCACCACAGTCAGGTGAGAACGCTTTGGTTTCTTTTCCTTCTTTTGACTCAAGCTTTGATGCCTCTTTTGAATCCGTGCGTTTTCGAGTGACAGAGTTTCAAGGCGACCACCGACACCAGCGTTAGTCCGAGCGCGAGTGCGACGATCACGCTGATCCACAACACTTTCCCGTCCACAGACTCGCAGTGCTCCGATTGCACGGCGCTCACGCTGATCTCAATGCTCTCTGAGTCTCTGGTGTACCAGCAGGTTGCGGCGGCGATGTCCGGCACATTCAGTCTGTCCTGCTGGAGCAACGTGAAGAGGTACGGGTTTCCGCAGCAGCTCAACGGGTTTGAGCCCACATATAAAATCCGGAGCGATTTCTGCAGAGCGAAAACCGTGTCAGATGCAAGCGTTACCAAACTGTTATTCTGCAGGTTCAAGGACTCCACAGAAGAATCTCCGCTCCAGAGAGAGACCCCCGTGAGTCGGTTCACTGACAGATCCAAAGACTTGAGTTTCCGAAAGAAGGTGAAGTCGACGGTTAGGGTTTGGAGCTGGTTTCCTCTTAGAGAAAGATGGGTGAGGGTCGTCTCCAAACCTGAGAGAGATGACGGGCCCAAGCCCATGTCGGCATTCTGAGAAAAATCCAGAATAAGTAGCGGGCTTCCGCGAAACGCGCCTGGTGGAACCGATGCAAGACTGTTCTCCGAGAGGTACAGATAGCTCAGGGTCGGGATAGAGGACAGTCGGATACAGTCGTGCATTGGACCCTTGAGAGAAGGACAGATGCTAAACAGGTTTTGCTGAAGGTGAAGGCTTCGTATGTTGGGGAGCCTTGAGAAAATCCCGGCGTCTAGCGTCCTCAGAGCGTTTCCCTGAAGGTGCAAGACTTCCAACGCAGCCAGCGTGCTCTCGCCGAAGGACAAGTTCTGCAGGTTGTTGTAGCTGATGTCCAAGGTTTTCAACGAGTTCAGACGGCCTTCTGAATCCACACTGAAGCTCTCTAAACAGTTATTGCTGATGTTTAGGCTCTCCAGAGAAACCATGCTGCTGAAGAACGAGGACGGAATCGCTTTGAGCTGGTTGTAGCTCAAGTCCAAGTAGAGCAACCTGGGAAGATCCTGGTGCCTCTGATTGACGCAAAGGCAAAGGGGTTTGTCGTGGTCGGTGAACAGATACCCGCTGGCCTTCAGGTTCTCCAGCTCTTCTAGCGGACCGGAGCAGTTCACGCTTCTCAAGAGGTTTCTGGACAGGTCCAGGTACATGAGTTTGTTCCTCTCGGGTAGCACGGGGAAGTACAGGATTTTATTTTCCCTCAGGTCCAGATACAGAAGCTCGAACTCCAGATCCGAATCAACGGTCTGGAAGTTAGTCAGGCTGTTTTTGCTCAAGTTTAGAGTTTTGAGCTGAACGAGGTTGAAGTCCGTGATGCATGAAAGGGAGTTCACCGACAGATCGAGTTCTGAGAGCCCCGTCAGCGACTCGAAAGCACCTTCTTCGATTTCTATGATGACGTTATTGTGTAGGTCGATGCTTGTTAGAGCCTGAGATCCGTTAAATGTGTGCCTGCTTATTTTAGTAATGCTGTTCCCGTCTAAAGAGAGGTTGGTGAGGACCGGGGCGTCGCTCAGGAAATAGTCGCTCATATCCGTGAACAGACCGTTTCCGGACAAATCCAGATGCTGGACTGATTTGAGCGGCCCGACGTGAGTTTTCAGAGCCCCGTAAAGGTCCAGCGAGTTTCTCGATAGATCCAGCACCTCCAAACGGCTCGTGTCCTGGAACAGGCCCGGCTGGATGAACTGGATCTTGTTGGCGTGGAGGTTCAGATGCTGGATGTTGGAGAGTGCCAGAAGCTCCCGGTCCGTGAGGTTCTGCAGGAGGTTTCGCGACAGATCGAGGAGGTGGATGAAGCCCGGCAATCGCGCCGGGACCCGTCTGAGGTTCAGGCCGCTGCAGTCGACATCCTCGTGGACCTTAAACCGGCAAGAACGAGTGCTATTAGCCAACAGTATTTACCACACTGCAAAACATATTCTCTTATTTAGTATTTTTGTTGTTTTCTAGTATAAATATCTAAACATTCTTGAATCAAGATTGATTTATTGTACAAGTAAAATTACTTAAGATATTATGTCTTGTTTTCTGTAAAAAAAAATCTAAATTTTGTTAGTTTTTCCTTAAAAAAAAGCTAAAATATATATCAAAATGTGTGGTTTTTTTAGTCTCTTCTGCTCACCAAGCCTGCATTTAATTGATCCAAAATACAGCAAAAACAATAACATTTTAAAATATTTTTACTATTTAAAACAGCTGTGTTCTATGTGAATATCTGTTAAACTGTAATGTATTTCTGTGATGTGCAGCTGTATTTTCAGCATCATTCCTCCAGTCTTCAGTGTCACATGATCTTCAGAAATCAGTATAATATGCTGCTTTGCTGCTCAAAAATGTTATTGTTATTATTATTATTATTATGTTGAAAACAGCTGAGTAGAATTTTTTCAGATTTCTTTGATGAATAGAAAGTACAGCATTTATCTGAAACAAAAATCTGTTGTTACATTATAAATGTCTTTATCATCACATTTAAAGCATCCTTGCTAAATAAAAGTATAACTGTCTATAATTTCTTTCCCAAAACAAAAAAAATTATACTGACTCCAAGCTTTTGAATGGTGTAGTGTGTGATGTTACAAAAATAACATTTTAAAATATTTTTACTATTTAAAACAGCTGTGTTCTATGTGAATCTCTGTTAAACTGTACTGTATTTCTGTGATGCGCAGCTGTATTTTCAGCATCATTCCTCCAGTCTTCAGTGTCACATGATCTTCAGAAATCAGTATAATATGCTGCTTTGCTGCTAAAAAATGTTATTGTTATTATTATTATTATTATGTTGAAAACAGCTGAGTAGAATTTTTTCAGATTTCTTTGATGAATAGAAAGTACAGCATTTATCTGAAACAAAAATCTGTTGTTACATTATAAATGTCTTTATCATCACATTTAAAGCATCCTTGCTAAATAAAAGTATAACTGTCTATAATTTCTTTCCCAAAACAAAAAAAATTATACTGACTCCAAGCTTTTGAATGGTGTAGTGTGTGATGTTACAAAAGCTTTTTATTTCAGATAAATGCTGATCTTTCTATTCATCAATGTTTCTCGAGCAGCAGATCAGCATATTATACTGATTTCTGAAGATCATGTGACACTGAAGACTGGAGGAATGATGCTGAAAATACAGCTGCGCATCACAGAAATACATTACAGTTTAACAGAGATTCACATAGAAAACAGTTATTTTAAATAGTAAAAATATTTCACAATTTTACAGTTTTTGCTATATTTTGTATCAAATAAACGCAGGCTCTGGTGAGCAGAAGAGACTTCCTTAACAAACATTAAAAATCGTAACTCTTGACTGCTAGTGTACACTCGTGACATCACACAGCTGTTTCCTGGAAGATTTCAACACAATGGACCCCACAGTTTTTAGCGTGACGTATGACTTAAAGCAGCTCTCGGTTTACACTATCTGCGCTCCGTCTACACTTTATTTATGCTCTCTAGATAACTGTGGCTCAGGGAAGGTGCTTCAGGATTTTCTCTCGTCTCTGGGACCGACCCTTTGTTTCCGCCAGAGTTCAGAGTTCGGCGAGAGGATGGAGACATAATTACACACACTTCCTCTGCGCTCATTAGTTGGTGTCCAATCAGACGGTCAGAGGAGGTTTCTGCCCTGAACACAGTCATGCTGAATCTCATCAGACTCTATGGTTTAGTCTGAGACTCGTAATCGTCCTCACTGGAGGAGGTTTCTGCCTAATATGGTTCTCTAGATGTGGGTCCATTTGGTCTTCGCTAATGTAGAGTTTAAGTGTGATTCTATTTAATTAATACTGAAGCATTTCATAAACCCTCAGGAAACGGACACAAGCGAGTCAATAGTTGCCTTACAGCAAGACTATAGAGCTATACAATGAATGTGGAGCAACACAGATGATTTGATGAGAAACTATTGAGTTTATATCTCAAGGCTTTCGATTACAGACTTATCTTGGCAAATCTCAGCATCCGAAATGACACTTTTGAGCAAAGTCTCCATTTACTCTGTTTAATTCCATTGCTAAAAGAGCTCTCACATGTGGTTTTTATTTCCTAGGTTGACCATTTAATGGTCACCAAAGACCATTCAATTCAAGCAATTGATATACAAAGACTTGAAATATTTTCTGAAAATGTTTGGCTTGCAGGCAAGGGATTGCACATAATCATCAGTAATTATGGTAAGTGCTATATTAACAGATGCACTGAACAAACACCGACAGTGTGTTTGATTCACAAGTTGAGCATGAAGTTAATCAGACCTGGAGATGCTGTAACTCACCACTTGACAGGGCGAAGGCTCTGCTGGACGTCTGTACGGAGAGACCTGGTTCACCAGGAGCATCAGTATCCAGAGACGCGTGCCCATGATGCTGCAGACACAGAAGAGCGAGCGGATGAGGATGAATGACATGAACATGACATCACTCCGCAGGCGCTCACATCACAGCTTCTGTTTTTAACTCCAGTGACGTCTGCTGAAGTGGAACATCGACTCTTTCTCGATGTCAACAGATGTGTCACTCCTGTCTAGGTCTGGTTTCTGTGTTTGATATTTGACACGTGGTGAGTACAGCAGAAATATGAAAGGTTCATCTCCATTTCCACATTATGTGTTAAATATATATCAGAGGGTGATGTTTCAGCAGAAATGAACCCTCTGATCTCCAGCTGTTACTCATCGTGTGCCAATCAAAGGAAACCCGTAAACCGCACACTGCAAAAAAAAATCCTTTTCTTACTTTTGACTAGTTCAAGCATTCTTGAACCAAGACGCGTTTACTTGACAAGTAAAATTATTTCAGATATTAAGTCTTGTTTTCTAAAAAAAATTTTTTTTAAATATCTGCCAGTGCATGGGGTAAGAAAAATTATCTTCATTCAAAGGCTAATCAAGATGATTTTTCTTGCCCCATTGGCAGATATTTTTGCTTGTTTTTAACTTTTGTTTTACAGAAACAAGATATAATATCTTAAGTCATTTCACTTGTACAATAAATACATCTTGATTCAAGAATGTTTAGATATTTATACTAGAACACAAGACAGAAATACTGAGTAAGAGATTAATTGTTTGCAGTTCAAGATGAGAAAAGCCAGCATCGGAAGCATGCAGTAAAGCGCAGGTGTGTCTCAGGTGTGTCACCTCAGTAGTGTGCTGCTCCGCTGCTGTTCACACTCATGCTGCTCTCCTCCGTCTCGCTCGCTCCGCTACTCATCCTGCTGTGAAAATATCCTGCAAATACTCTTGTTTTTTCCTTCTGTGCTCAAGCCTTGTATGGGATCGGACCTCCCTCTCCCTCTGTGTGTGTGTGTCTCTCTCTCTCTGTCACTCTGTGTGTGTCTCTCTCTTTATCTTGCTTTTTAACTCTCTCTTTCTCTCCTCCCTCCCTTTCTCTCTCTCTCTTTCTCTCCTCCCTCCCTTTCTCTCTCTCTCTTTCTCTCCTCCCTCCCTTTCTCTCTCTCGCTCTCTCTCTCGCGCTCTGTGTGTCTCTCTCTCTTGCTCTGTCTCTCAATTCAATTCAATTTAATTCAATTCAGTTCAGTTCAGTACAATTCAATTCAAGTGAGCTTTATTGGCATGACTAGCACAGTATTGCCAAAGCATTGACCATTGCATGAACAAATAATGATTGTATAACACATAAACAAAACAAGAATAGATCTATAATTCATAAAGTAGGTAATTACATTAAAAAAAAATTAATAAACAGAAATAAGAAAATAGTTAAGATATTGTCTTAAAGATTAAGATTATTGTCTCTCTCTCTTTCTGAAAACTGATGTTGACGGTTCTTTGCAAATTTATGTCTAACTGTATTTTATTGAAATGAGGAGTTGTTTTTTACACATGAGTTATGAAAGGAACAATGTTAAAAACTAGTGCTCTGTGTGTGTGTGTGTGTGTGTGTGTGTGTGTGTGTGTGGTAAGGGCTGTAAAATCGTAATGATGCATCTTCTTCAAACACTGCCAGCTTCTAGAATCGTTTTATTTCATTGTGTCTCTCTTTTTTAACTTTAATGTTAGTGTTGCTTAAATTCAAGCTGAACACAACCTAGAGCCACGGTTTGGTCTTCAGGGATTCCCGGCTGGAAAAACTCGGACTTTTCACTCGAGCGCGTTGCTTTTGCTCTGTCTTGTGGTTAGTTCTCATCAGGATGCAACATCACATCTCTCTGGTGTCTCGCGGACACGGTCTCCATCTAGCGGGTGTTTCAGCGCATCACTGACCCCAGAACAGCCTCAGGCGACTGAACTCGCTTTCTCACATTCTGTGGAAATGTGCTTGTGCGCAACACATACAGAAAAGGTCCAGCCAGATGATAAAAACAAGCAGAAATGAAATGTACTATAAATGATTTGGGAACAGTCTTTCAGTGACTGGAGGAAGAGTTATTATGGATTATAGACTCTTATGTATTTGAGTTAAGAACGTCTTAATGCTGGATGTGTTTCAGCTTTTGTCTTCTCCAGATGTTCACTGATGGACTGGAGTGCTGTGGATTATTGTGATGTTTTTATCAGCTCTCATTCTGACGGCACCCATTCACTTGCAGTGAGACACTGATGCAATGCTACATTTCTCCAGATCTGATGAAGAAACAAACTCATCCTGATCTCAGATGATCTGAGGGTGAGTGCATTTTCATTCATTCATTCATTTATTTATTTAGAGCAAATTATTCCATTAAGAAATGTAATGTAACATTCAGATTAAATGTACGTCCCCCCCCCAAAAAAAAAAAAAAACTTAAATATTTTTCAAAATAAGGCCAAAAATGTATATTTGCTAAAATATGTTTCAAAAGTATATATATATATATATATTAGTGCTGGGCAACGATTACCATTTTTAATCGCGATTAATCGCATTGTTATGCACAAAAGTAGTGTATTGCGCACTTTTATTAAAGTACTGCTATATGAACAAAAGTGCAATAATATTTAGTTTGCAAACACTTTAAACAAATAAGGTGCTTTTTTACAGCAGTCTTCCTTTTACATAGCAGCAGTTAAAATATTTCTTATAAACATTAATGTAATCAAATTAAATGTAAAACCAAAGCTATATTTTATATCGCAATGGCCAATCAGAGGTGTTTCAGCGAGAATCCACTGAACAGAACGTATTAACGGGACACTTTCTTAAGTTTCTCCATGATTGCTTCCTACACGGTTCCCACACCTTGGTTAACTTCAAATTCAAGGACCTTTCAAACATCTTCCAGGTCCAGCACCCTCGAATTCAAGCACTTAATGTGGACACATTTCGCGTGAGATCAAGGTTACAGCGTTACATTGTTGCAATTTTCATGTGTCAAACACAACTATGCAAAAAAATGCATTTTGCATTTACAGAGATCTGATATTCTATTTGTCGTATTTCTGTTTTGCATGAAACTGAAGAATACTCGGTACATCCTATACTGTATTCTAAAATGATCTGATATTAACTTTTGCATGGGTTTTATTGAGAAGAGCTCAGGCTCATGTATCCAGAAGTTTTAAGATATATGAATATGCTTTTAAGTTTTTAGTTTTATAGATAAATCGCATTTACATACAAAATGCTGCTTTTTCCGGCGTTTAAAACAGTATTTTAGTATTTCAGGCACATGGATTAAAGATGGCAGCTGTGTTGGACTGTTTGGCACAAGGAATGTAATTCAGATAAGACTTTATTCCCTCTCCATGCACAGTGTACACACTCACTCACTCACTCACTCACACACACTCACTCACTCACTCACTCACGGTTTTTATCGCGGGGTAACATGTCAATTCAAATTTTGTATCTCAAAATTGTGAGTTTATATCAGAATTCTGAGAAAAAGGTCAAAATTGCAAGATAAAAAGTCACAATTATCTTTTTTATTGTTTTCTTCAGTGAGTTTCCGTACATCACACTCTCAGACACACAAACACAAGAAACAGACGCTTTCATTCAGTTTAATATATTTATATATGCATGTATAAAATTAGACAGAAACGGCTGTTTTCATATACAAAAGGCCAATAAAACAAGAAAACACAGAAGTGTGTAACAGGCGTTAGTCGATGAAGGCACTCTCATCCACAGTGTTCCAGTTAACATGATCTTGTGACGCGATAGTGCTGCAGTCTCGTACCTGTATGGGGGCAGAGGGGCTGGAGCAGCGGGAGTTGTCGTTGCTAGACTCCGCTTTCTTCCCCACCCTAGTGTTCTGTGAGCTCACACTCTCTAACGAGGTGCAGCTACACACACACACACACACACACACAGAGACGGACGCAAACACAAATGAGATGAGAGATGACAAGCAATACGATACAAACACCGCAACATCAGCTGCTCTGATCAAAACACACACGGACCTCAGACAGATGAGACGACACACACACACACACACAGGCAGATGTGAGCTGACGGGGTTAATGACAGTGATAATGTTAGTGACTGAACACTGCAGACACACATCGGTCACGTGACGCCTCATATTTCACACACAAAGCAGCAGAAATACGTCCCACGATCCGCTTCATATATTTGTTTCCATATGCACTACATGTTTTTTGAACAAAACTTCAGCACACGCACAGTGCTGCAGAGCTTTTTAGAAAACATTTAGTATATATTCAGTCTCCTCCACTAAACAGTTCTTAAAATGTAATGTTCTTAATAATGACAATGAAGAGTCTTAGACCATTATTACCAGAATTACTGTAGTTAACTAAAAGTAAAACCATTAAAATACATTTTCATTACTCGAAATAAAATAAAATTTAAGAAACGTATTGAAGCTACTTGCCAAGGCAACGTTTCTTATTTAAAACAAAAATAACTAAAACCGAAAAATTGATAAAAACTATACAGATATATAAAAAACTACTAAACATTACAGAAAACACAAAATTACTAAAACTTTAAATAATAAGAACTATAATAGTATCTCAATGATACTAAAATAATACTGCGTATTATAATAATAATAAAGCTGTCTTATTTAAATCATTATAAATTCACCACTAATAAAAACTGAAATTATCATGAACTAAGACAAGTATTTTTTCGTGTTAGTTCATGTTAACTAATGTAGGTAACCAATGTTAACTAATGAAAGTCTATTGTAAAGTGTTCCGAAAATATATTTACGGTCCTCAGATCAGCTTGATTTGCTTTGTTCTGTGGTGAAATATGAGCCGGAGATGTTTGTGAGCTTCACCTGTTCAGGGTTAAGCTCAACACTAAGCCTTCACCTGCGCTCGGTGCGTCAGTAATACAGTTCAGACAGTGCGTTGTGTCATCCGTGTTCACTGTACGCACTGTACGCAGTCAGATCAGACGTCATGCTCCATGCACACAAGAGTTAACCAGTTAAACCACACCACCACTACTTACTAGGGCTGGGGAAATAAATCAATGCATCACGAATCGAGAAATGATTCCGCATTCTTTTGGCGATTCTTTCTCGAGTCGATTCTGAGCTTAGTTTTGAACACTGCATGCTTTAGAAACAGCCAAATCCTTACACTCGAACCTAAAATAATCACTCATAAGATTCGAGAAGGTTGAAGCGAATCACAAGGGTGTTCACAGTGGGCTGAGTTTACATTAATCTCATCATAAACGCATTCTGAGCCGAGGTGAAATTACAGCTCTTCAGCTCTTCCTCATGAGTGTTTGAGTGTGAGGATGAAAACTAGAGTAGAGCGCCACCTGCTGTTGAAATCTACGCTCAGAACCCATTCCAGAGAGAATCATGCACTCAGAAGATCTCAGAATCGCTCCACGATCGCAGCCCTGCTCCCTCCAGACACGGTTCATCAGTTACAGACACGTACCCTCTGTAGTCGTGACTGGGCTCCTGTCGTCTGATGATCAGGTAGGTGACCACAGCGATGATGATGATGCCGATCACGGCTCCGATCACGCCGCACACGATCACCGCCGCGCTGGTCTGAGGAAGAGCCTCTGAACACAGAGAAACACGCTTACTGCGAGCCCAAAACTATTACTGTTGTGCTACTACTACTTCACAAAGGCTGATTTAAGCATGGAAATGTATACACTGTGTTTCAGAGCGCAGCACTGTGTTCATTTACACGTGAGCAGCTCCTGATCTGGTGTTTCCAGCGTCTCAGACCAACTCTGTTCAGAGTAAACGATCCACATGAATCCATCAGCATCTGCTCGGAGCCTGAGACGCTTTAACGTGCATTTGAGAACCAAACATCTCCAAACATCGGCACAAACTTGAAAGGAGATGCACTTAACTAAAGAGAAGCTTTATAATTCCTTGCAGCTGTCTGTCAAAATAAAAGCTGGTTTAATGTTTGTAATAAATTTGAGAAGAAATGAAGACAGCTATAAATATTAGTACTGTAATTGTACGATTGTAATGTAAGAATTATATTATTTTTCTTAATTTTTCTCTGTAAAACCGTTTTGACATGATATGCATTACTGTATATGCGCTATAAAAATATATATTTCATTTTACACCACTAAAAATAAAAAAAAGGAATATCGCTATTGCTATAGGTTTTATTTAGTAACAACAATAATAATATTTTTTAAAAAGTCATATTAATATATATCCCGAGTATAATTCGCAATGGGCCAAAATTGCATCTTTAAAAGAAAAAAAAAAGCACAGTTGCGTGACGCATGTCATTATTAAATTCAGAAATAATGTAAGATATCTGTAAATGAAATGTTTGAGAACATTATAAACACTATTATAATGGCATTTATTATAAGCAGCAATACAGAGGCCAAACTTGTAAACCAATTTGTTTAAAGCGAACCCTGCAGCACAAAAGCAGTGTTGAGTCGCTGGGGGATATTTGTAGCAATAGCCAACAATACATTGTATGGGTCACAATTATACATTTCTCTTTTATGCCAAAAATCATTAGGATATTAAGTAAAGATCATGTTCCATGAAGATATTTAGTACATTTCCTACCGTAAATATATCAAAACTTAATGTTTGATTAGTAATATGCATTGCTAAGAACTTCATTTGGACAACTTTAAAGATGATTTTCTCAATATTTAGATTTTTTGCATCCTCAGATTCTTTTTTGAAATAGTTGCATCTCGACCAAATATTGTCCTATCCTAACAAACCACACAGTTTGCTCATAAGTTTACATACCCCTTGCAGAATGTGCAAAATGTTAATAATTGAAACAAAATAAGAGGGATCACAAAAATGGCATGTTATTTTTAATTTAGTACTGTCCTGAATAAGCCGTTTCACATTACAGATGTTTACATATACTCCACAAGTTCCACAATTTTGCACATTCTGCAAGGGGTGTGTAAACTTATGAGCACAACTGTACATTAATGGAAAGCTTATTGACCCTTATGACTGGTTTTGTGCTCCAGGGTCACATATAAGTCGCAGGATGTTTCCGATGATGACGCTCACCTTTCATGACCACCCTGACTTTAGTGAAGGACACCTGTCCGGAGATGTCTGGAGGATTCTTCACGTCGCAGCTGAACGTCCCGTTGTCCTTGAACTGCATCTGGAGCACACGGATCGACACGTCCTTCTTGTTCATGTCTCCGGCCCATTCCACACGAGACTTAAACTGCGGCACCGAGCCCGGAAACGGCTTTCCACCGGAGTAATAGAAGATCTGCAGAAGAGAGCATACGTGTTGA